ATCCATCCCGTAGAGCTCAGTGCTTCTCTCCCTCCTGCAGCCTCGTGTGCCCACACCATCCTGCCCTGAGAGCTCGCGTCCACCCACCCGTCCCCTCGGGGCTCCAACCGCGGGCCCCTTGACCCCGGGAACATCGCTCAAGACTGCAGGTCTGCACATCCAGTGGCCTATTGGGACGCGTTGGAATACCCCAGGCCACTGATGGGGTGAAGTCCAGGGCCATGGCAGTAGCCCAAGAGGGATCCTTTATGATCATGGAGAGATGGAGGTAGGAAGTGGGTAGGAGGGCAGGTGTTGGCCAGGCACGGGGATGCCCGACCGGGCCCATTCTGCCCACGCCCTCCAGATTACGTGGGGGAAAGAGTCTGCCACACTTCTCTGCTGGGAAATAGACCACGGCTATTGGACCAATGTCGTCCTTCTGTATGCGTCCCACAGCGCGTCTGCCACCAGTCCCCGTGGGCCCTGACGTCCTACACTTCCTCAGGAAGTCGTTCACTTATTCGCCCAACATTTCCAAGCCCCCGTGACATGCCAGGCACGTGCTAGCTGCCGGGGAGAGGCAAACTGGCAAATTCGGTGTCAGAGATCTGATGCCAGGACAGGCTCGCACCAGCGCAGGTGCCCGTCACACGACCGCAGACTCGGGGAAAAGTATCTGGAGAGAGTGCACAACAACGGCAGGTCTGACTCACGCCGGGTGGGGCAGGAGGGGTCAGGGAGGGCTTCTCGGAGGAAGGGACATTCGGAAGAGAGCTGAGGCACAGAGGTAGTTAGGGAAGTTGGGTGGGCTTCCGCGGAAGAGGAGACCACTTGTGAAAAACCCCAGAGTGGTGGAAGCGGAGGGAAGGGTGAGGGGGGGAGAGCACAGGCCGTGGAGGGAGGTTCAGTCCGAGGACAGGGAGCCCCGGGCAGGCTCGGGGGCTGAGCTTGGAGCCCAGGACCCCCAAACGGAGATGCCACGTGGGGGGCTGGAGTTCAGAGGACAGAGAGATGTGGGAGCCGGACACGTGGAGTCACCAGTATGTAGTTGGCGATGCAATTCGCTGGTGCGGTTAGGGCCACCCGAGGAGAACACAGTAGAACGGCATCAGTCAGCTACTGCCACGTGAGGACCACCCACAGGATCTCTGTGCTATGAACCGACACGAATGGACTTAGCTTTCCCGTCTGGGCAGCGTGGGGTCAGGTGGCGCAGGCCGGCCCTGCTGGGCGGCGGGGGTCTCCGCAGCTTGCGCCCGCCTTGGGGGGTGGCTGTCCGTGACTGGTTCGCGCCGGCTCTGCTGCCATTGTCCCCCTCCCACCGAGGGCGGCCACGTCCTGCTCGTCTCACGGCCACGCCGAGGCCACAGCAGGCGAGGCCACAGCAGGCTGGGAGGAAGGGCTCAGCACAGGACTGCATTTCTGCCTCAGCGGCTAAGTGAAGCATGTCGAGGGGCCAAACCCCAAGTGCAGAAGGGCCTGCGGGAGGCACGTGGCTTCCTTGGTGGGAGAAACCGCACGTGCCCGGCCAAGGGTGCAGGCGCAGGAAGACATGGCCCGTCCGGCCCCCGAACCCTGTCTGCAGCGGCATCGCGCTCCTCTCCAGGAGTCAGGCCAGGTGTCCTACCCTGTGCCCCACCCCAGAGCCCCACGTCCCCTCTGGTGGGGGGCAGTAGGATCGAATCCGGGGTCTTGAGGCCACAGAGGCCCCTCGAGACCACACGGCATGAGGCCTCGGTGGATCCCCACGTGCTCAGCATCCGTGGGGGAAGAGACAGCGAGGCCCCAGTGATCACCAGTCGTGCAGCTGGCCCGGAGTGGCCACATCCACCGCAGCTCAGGGTCTGGCCGAGGCGGCACGGGGACCTCGTTCCTCCAGGACGTGAGTGGCTCCGGCCCATTGTTCCCTGGCTCTGCCCGCTGAGACCCCCCCTTACTCTAAACGCTTGTGTGGAAGGCGCTGGGGGCCAGGCCTGTCTGCACAGAGCACGCCCTGGAGGCCCTTCGGAGCTCTGCTCTCTGAAACACTGTGGGTTTCTGTGTAGGCAAGCCTCCTTCGTTCCAGCTGCCAGAAACCTCACCCACAGTTCCTGAGGCCACGGCCTCTTTCAGATAGTTCCTTATTAGAACGTGGAGGATACCACATCCTTGAGGGACAGGGTCCCCACACCCTAGATGCCCTCTGCACAGCTTAAGACCTGAGCGTGCACACCAAAATTCTCCCAGAGTCCTGACAAAGACACGATCCGAAGTCAGCTTGCAAGCACAGACCTTCCGTATCTCACAGTTCCTGTACCAGAATCCCGGCTCAGCTCAGGGGGAGCCTCTGCCTCCAGGTCCCCCAGGAGCCCGGGGGTGCAGCCTCCGCTCAGGCTCGACCGGGGCAGGCTCTGTCGCCAAGACCGCTCACCTGGTATCGGCAGGATTCGGTTCAGAAGGGGGGCTCAGGACTTTTCCGTCAGCCTGGACCCTCTGTGGGTTCTTAGGACTGGGGTCTCCCAGGGCAGCTCATACTATCCGGCCTTGCTTCTCCAAAGCACAGAATCAAAGAGAGACACACAGAAGGACAGACACACAGACACAGAGACAGAGAATGAACACAGGAGAGAGGGAACCAGGAGAAGTCACACTTTCCTCCATCAGCTTGGAAATGACCTCCCAGGGTTCTGCCCCATTCTCTCCCTGAGAGCGCGGTCACACAGGCCACCCACCCTGGAGGGGAGGGGATTCCACAGGGACGTGTGAGCAGGATTCGGGAATGCCCGGGAACCACTGTGGGGACTGCCCAGCACGTGGGCGCAGACGAGGCCCTGGGGCCTGAGCCTAACCCTGATGGGAGCCCCTGGAAGTCTGCGTCACCAGGGGACAAGGTCGGAATCCGTTCATTGCAACCTCCCCTCAGGGGCTGGGACACAGGCAGGAGGGGAGTGGCTTTGCCTGGACCCCAGAGCGGACCAGGCCCCTCTGAGCTGTGCTCCATGGCCCGCCCAGCCCCTGGCTCCTCCTTACATTGTCGAGAGTGCACCAGCCTCCTGTGATAGCAGGTACGGAACGTGTGTAGAGCTCCTGCCCCTGATGGCGTCCCTAGAAGTAGAAGCCAGAACACCCCACTGTGCAGATGGGGAGGCTGGGGAGGCCCTGAGAGGCACAGGGTCTGTCCAGGGTCACAGCCCTGGGCACGCGCAGGTGCCCGGTCTGAACCCAGCTCTGTGTCCTCCCACAAGGGCTGCACCCAGGCCTTGCGGGGCTGTGGGTGGGCTGTGAGGGTGTCACTGTATAGATGGGGCATGGGGGGAGGGTGAGCATTGAACAGCTGGGGGAGGGGCCCTCGGGGGTGGGGCTCTGGTGTGAGGAGGAAGTTGGGTGAGGGGACCCCGGCCGTGGTGACCTCACTTCCCTGACAACAGAGCCCATCAGAATTTGGAACCCAGGTAACCAGGAACCCACATTCCAGAGAGAGCCCCCGGCCCAGCTCATTTCATTAGAGATAGTCAAACCAAGATGTTCACATGCTGCCTTCCGAGGTCCGGAGGTTGCAGGCTGAAGAAAGCGCGCCCAGCAAATGCTGTCTCCACACGATGTCCTGTCAGGGCTCCCCACCGCCTCTGGCGGTTTGGTCGGAAAGACCACAAGGTGACACCAGGAGTCCCAGAGCCGGCCACCCAGCCCCACA